TGACAATTCTCCTATAGGGTTTAAGGACCATAGTTTGGACCCGGCTCTACAGGATACAAAGCAGGAAACATAACATACGCAAATAATAATAATAATAATAATAATAATAACCTCTATTACTATTACAAATAAAGTTTATACCTACCATGCTTCGTCGGGTGGGGGAATCTATGTCTTTAAGACCCTTCAAAGAAGGCCTACCCTATTGGGTTTCCCGTTCCTTCTAAAGACTTCTCATTCCTGTTTCCACCTAGTAGCCCCTTGCGTCTTAGTGGCGTTGTCACCTTGCTTGGGGTTAATTGATTAAAAGAATTTATTTATCTCATTCTGTTCATATCTATCTATCTATCTAGCTAGCTAGCTAGCTATCTGGGAGTAGAGGTTTATCCTTTGTTTCTGATTTCAGATTGGGTTTTCCGGTTCCTTCTAAAGACTTCTTATTCTCTTTCATTCCCAGTATCCCCTTGCGTTTTAGTGGCATTATCGCCTTGCTTGGGATGAGTTGACTTTAAAAAAAAAGACCAAAAATTATAATTACAGACTACGAGGAAATGCCTCGTCATAAATATGGCAGTGTCTTCGGTTAAAAAAATACGACCAGTTAAGTCAGCATAAGGATATCGGAATCGAAATTGAAAATATTTATCACTTTAAAATAATTATTATACTAATTGGAGTCGTGTTTATGATCAAGAAAATTTCAGCCAAGAATATTGACAAAATTCCGGGCAGCCCCTGTTAATAATAGACCTCGCACATTGTGGGGAAGTGCTCATCTACTCGGGAAAGTCACATCAATGTCAAGAAAAATATAAACTGTACATGTTAAGTAGCACTTAACATCAAAATCTGTTTTTTTCTAGAATGCATATCTTGCCTTACCATAGCTCACAGGTGGTGACCCGGTAAAGGACTGTACTATACTAGAAGGTAATAATAATAATAATAATAATAATAATATTGGAAAAGATTCCAGTAGACTAATTGAAGGGATTCCTGGAAGTCCATGCCTCAAAGAGATACAAAAAATTATTCTCACAACTACGGCCCAAACTTTACGAAGGGCAATATCTATGTAAAATACACACACACACACACACACACACACACACACACACACACAAAACATACCATTTTTGATTTTATTTATGATATTTACACATATATATATATATATATATATATATATATTTGTTAGTGGATAGTGTCATGATGCCATTTCTAACCTTAGGTCTCTGGGCGGGACCAGGAAAGAAATGTGTAAACGCCAGAAATCAAAGAAAATAAAAATAATAATAAAAAATTGGAAGGCAAAGGAAGAATTAAAATCCTCCAAGCAATGGCATTATTAAAATCAACTGTGAAAAATGCATGCTGGAGGGGAACTGTCATCACTTGACCTCCAGTTAAGCCCCGTTCCTATTGGAAGAAAACTCAATGAGCACTAATAATGATATTGCAGGGGTCTGCAAGAATACTGAGAAAGGTGCTGGAGTTTAGCGGAAACTTTATCTGCAGTGGAAGCCACCAGTTAATGCTGCGCGAAACTTCAATGAATAGAATCAAATAAATGACGATAAACAACAGAAAGAAGACCTGTAAAAATGCAACATTATCAGCAGACCAGGGACCAATATAAAGGAACGAAAAAACTAAAACATCGAACCCCCCACCCCCAAAACCCCAAAAAAAACAAACAAAAAAAACAAAACAAAAAAAAAAACAAAACAAAAAAAAACGTATATACAAGGACGATAATAACTGGAGTACTGGGACTGATTCCTAAAACAATAAAGGGTAACTGTCTATATTTCTGAGATAAGGTATTATGTAAATTATTTATATTATTTCGAATATTGTCCTCATCTTTGTCGCCATATTTATCACAACGTTTCGACCAGTAAAGGGTAACTGTCTATATTTCTGAGATGAGGTATTATGTACACTATTTACATTATTCGGACTATTGTCCTCATCTTTGTCGCCATATTTATTACAACGTTTCGGCCCTTCAGTATCTGTCTATATTTCTGGGATGAGGTATTATGTACACTATTTACATTATTCGGACTATTGTCCTCATCTTTGTCGCTATATTTATTATAACGTTTCGGCCCTTCAGTATCTGTCTATATTTCTGGGATGAGGTATTATGTACACTATTTACATTATTCGGACTATTGTCCTCATCTTTGTCGCCATATTTATTACAATGTTTCGGCCTTTTAGTATCTGTCTATATTTCTGAGATGAGGTATTATGTACACTATTTTTATTATTCGGACTATTGTCCTCATCTTTGTTGCCATATTTATTACAACGTTTCGGCCTTTATCCACTGCGCCATGTGTCCTCAAGGACACATGGTGCAGTGGATACAGGCGTTGGTTAGACCCAGTGACAGGACCCAAAGAATGTGAGTTCATTACCCGGTTAAGCAGTGGAGAACTTGCAGAGGGGAATTAACAGGGGATAACTGATAACTGACATCCATTAAACATGGCACGTGGAACTAGAACGGTCTACTCCAGTGAGCTAAATAAAGGGTTCAGTTCGACATTCCAACCACCTGAAGAAGGCCGGAGCGTACAACGGCAGAAACGTTGTAATAAATATGGCGACAAAGATTAGAAAAATAGTCCGAATAATGTAAATAGAGTAAGGGGTAAATCTAAAAAAAACCCAAAAAAACCTGCATATACCAGGACCTCACCCGGGATCCTATTAGTAGTGTTCATAATAATTGGAGTTCTGGGAACGATTCCTAAAACAGTATATGGTACCAAAAAACGGAAAAAGAAGCATATACCGGACCTCCCTTTGGGATCTGATTTGTGCCCATAATAACAAAAATCATTTCTCAAACACTAAGGTGCTTAAAAAAATGAATATACCAGGAGTTCCACTGAGAACTGAGGTTTGAATTGTTTCCAAAACAGTCACAGGCGGGAATAAACGAACTGGAAATTACTAGTAGGGCTGAGAGTGTTCCTATCACAACATTGCTGAGATATGCAAGGATACTGTGGAAGGTGCTGGAGATTTGAGAAAAGTTATTATGAGTCAGTCTCTATCAATAACCACCAGACATCTGGCATGAGCAATTAAAAGCTTTCTATAATATTGGAAAGACGGGATTTGCTGCCACTTGATCTACAATCACAGATATTAAATATTATTAGTGGGGAAAACTCAACGTGTACGTTTACACATTTAAAAAAAAAAAACCCAAAAATCTCTGAAAAAACAAAAAACAAAAACAAAAACCGTACTTTGTAGCCTTGATTTGAGATTTTGATTCATGTCAAAGTGCACAGATACTCTGAATCGATGCAGAAGCAACGAGTCGCACATAAAAATCTTTTATGGGTAACATGCTACTAATATGAAAATAATAATAATTTGAAAATTCTTATAATAATAATGATAACAATAACAACAGCAATAATACAACTTCTATTAATAATTATAATAATAATGACAATAATAGTAGTAGTAGTAGTAATGATAATAATAGTAGTAGTAGTAGTAATAATAATAATAGCAACGACAACAAGAATATGGAGGCAAGCATTTATAGCGCGATTAGTTTGAAAAATACTGTTGCTTGACAATACAAATCCACAACATAACGAACAAATATTTGTGGTGGATGCGCGAGTACAATAATAATAATAATAATAATAATAATAATAATAATAATAATAATAATAATCTGAAAAAATAGAGCCTGAAGTTAAACATCTAAAATCTGATGAGGCCCGCTGAACTTTGAACTGTTTTTGTGCGATAAAAAGCAGAGATTACGGCTTGAGAGTAAAAGGCGTCAAGCCAAGATCATCGAGCGTTTGTGTGAGGCAAATGTAGTAGTAACGGAGAAACAGTAAAAGGAGGAAGGAATGAAAAGGAAAG